CATTGCTGAACTGAATCTGCATGGTTTTCTGGAGTTCCTTGGGCTAGGCCTGAGAGTTAGTGAACTTAAGTGTCCTTTAAAAGGGTCCACTGCAGTTGTGAGCTTGATGTTTGATCCCTTCATCTCCTGGCACTCAAACCCATGGGAAACTGCTATCCTGCAGTCTCTTCACAAGGACCAGCCATCTGGAGCACATGTGGATGATATCCCATCCATTCCTTGTCCAGAGAGATTCTGAAGAACCAGTCTACTCACTGGTTCTTCAGTCTTTGCCCCGGTTGTCTTTGCTGTCCACAGAGATGTATTAAGCTTGCCAGCAATCATCAGTTACCTGCCATGGCTATTGTGAAAAGGCAGTTGCTAAAAGGGTCATTCAGGCCTTGAATATATTAACCACCTTTGTGACAATCAGAGAATTCTATGGTTGATCATCTATTTGACTTATCGTCCTATGTACTTGCTATGGTGTATTAGTTGGTGAAGATGACTCCATTATTGGAAAGCATTGATATGACAAAAAAATTGACTGTGCAATGTCTTGTACAGAACAATGCATCACTTAAAAAAAAAGAACAGAATGAAAACAAACTGCCAAGGAGGCTCACCTCTGCTCCCAGCCCCATTTCCTATATTATTTTTTTACTGTAAATTAGGTTTAAGAGGGCTGTGCAATGCTTCTAGATGTGATTCCCAGAAAATGTTTCAGGGCATGTGGGAGTGCAAATATAGCACTTGTCTGCAATTGTTTAAAAATGTGGCTGCTTTAAAAAGTTGCACATACATGCTATATTTACACCCCTATGTGCTCCAAGCCCATTTTTGACATCAAATCAGAAGCATTGCATAGCTCTAACAATTTATATTCTGTAACAGCATGATGCATCTGAGAGAGAAACACCTCACTGATAAACAAAATTTTAGGTAGTCCTTTAAAAATGTATCTTGTTTGTTAAATGTAAGCTCTTTAAAAATTCCTATACTTTAAGACAACAACTAAATCTTTTTTACTCTGATTACATCAGTTCTATTGAACTATTGAGTGCAAACATATTTTTGCTGGTGAAATTCAGCTCCATACTTCCACCCAGTGGGGTTTTCTTGATAAAAACTAAAGTACATTTATAACATGTACTTATAAGATGAAGAAATTTCCTCCTGCTGCACTAGGATAAATACAATGTTACATTACAATACCATTTTTATGAAGTGTTGTTGTAATTAAATTAAAGCAATTAAATGACTATCTAGCAGTGACCTTGATCATTTATTTTACAAGTTCACAGTACATAAACCATGTATTTGGCAGTAACAGCAGGAATCACAATCCAAACAGTATAAATATATAGAATGACATGTGAATTCAGCCAATCCATATTACATATCTGTAGCCAGTGCATATTAATAAGAAAAGATCCTACAGGCATATAAAAAATTTGGTAAAAAATAAGGTGCGTAGTTTTTACTGTACCATACAGGTACAGTATGCTGATAGGCTGGGCTAATCTTCTGTCTTATTTGTACTTCTGTATTGCACAAATGAGAGGAAGGATAGCAAACAGATATAAAATACCTCTGAATCTTTTTATTTAAATTTGGTGAAATAAAAAAAGTTTGGCCTAGGCAGTAACAGAAAGAATTTTGAGCTCTATTCAGTTCTAGGTAAAATTCTTGGCTCAGAATTTACAGAGAGACATTCTGTTCTTTCATCCTAAGTGTATGCATGCTGTACCTGGTTCTGTTGTTTTATTGCAACCTCAAGATCCAGCAGGCTTGATTTAACAAGCCTGAAGTCTGTCGATACCTGCATAGGTGCCCTATAACAAAAGATAGAGCATGGCACATCTGCATTTTACATTACCTTCTTGAAATGTTTATGTGGTTATATTGCAACAGTAGTTTGAAGCACTGCTTCGTACTGCAAATATTTTCTCTCTTATTATCCAATAGGCAATTAACAAAAAATTACCTAAATGTATTGTTACTCAGAATGTTCCATCCAAACAACCATTCGCTTCTTCTGTAAGCCCAAGAACACAGGATCTTACCTCATGCATGCTGTATGTGTACATGTTAAGCTAAGTTATATTTTAGATCTAGCATTGTTATACTGACTCAGATCTTGAGAAAAACTGTTGTCATAGCAGAACATCAGAATGCTGGATGTGGCATGGATATGCTAACGCAGGTAATCTAGTTGATCCATTCTTCATCTTACTGAAAAGCATTCTGTGAAAGCCTCATTTGACCGACACCACGATGGGCGATAGTGGTTGAAACCTATAATCCCATTTGGCGACACCCATGGTATATAGCATACTGTGCTATTTATACAGACAGTATAAAATTAATGACTAATCTAATGAAAGACTGAGTGAATTAGTGGGGGTGGGGAGAAGTCTCTGTTTGGTATTAGATATAGTTCCAATTCAGAATAGGAAGGATCTGGTGCTAGAGCAGGTTTGGATGATGAGCAGCCCTGAATGGTTGGACCTAGTGGTAGAGTCCTTCTAGCAGAAAGGGATGGGGGAGAATCCCAGCTCCACCTGAACAGGATGGGGGTGATGGTGGATGCTGCTGTTCCAAGAAATGCTTAGGCAGCAACAAAAGGATAGGAAGGAACGTGGCAGACAAACACAGGCATTAATCCAAGCTATGAAGGGGAGTACAGCATGGACTTCTTAGTTGCAGTTATTGTGCCTAGAGATGTCTCCAGGCAAATTAAAATCCATCCATTGAGAAAGGAAGATTTTATTTTTTTGTTAAGTGTGAAAGATCTGGAAGATCCTGTAGATGTCCATAGCAGGAATGGGTGGCAAGAATTGCACCTACCTTCACTGGTAAAGAACTGACAGCATACTCTAGCTTGTCAACTATAGATGTGGAAGACTATGATAACGTGAAGCAAGTAATCTGCAACGATATGATATAGGCCCAGATACATATCACCAAAGGATATGGAATGAGAGAATTATGGGGCAGTTTCCTGGACTTACGTGTTAAATGGTTGCAACTCATTACAGAATTCTTGAGCAAGTTATAAAAAAAGTACTTCTGCTGCCACTGTGAAGGTTGTCTATGAAGTATTTAATGGTACTGACCTGTCAATATGCAGGCAACTGATTGCTAAAGATACTCCTACACCATTTATTATAGTTTTCAGTGTTGGAATGTTATCTATATCTAAATATACATGCACATACAGACACACACTTTTTTCCTGCACTGTTCCTGCCAGATCCCCTTAATCCCAGATATCCATATGCTTTTCTAAAATTTAATTATAAATTTCTGAAAACAATTTTTCCTCTAAATGGTTATATGCTCATGTTTCAGATTAATTACATTTTAATATTCAGTAAACATTTAACAAACTCTTTCTATTTCTGTATTTAATCAAGTTATGCCAAGAACACTGTGCCCATAGTCATTTAAAGTAAATTTTTCAATGTATGCACAAGAAAACAGAGTACAGAGGAAAAGGAGACGCTGCAAACTTTTAGTAAACAAAAGATGAGTTAGATTGAAAAACAGCAATGCAATTCTGTGCGTGCCCACTCAAAAATTGTATTAAGGCAATGGGATCTGTTTTAAGTCACAGTACAAATGTACAACATACGTTCAGAAAGTTTAGCTAAATTTTTTAAAAATACAAAAGAACATTTTAATATAGAAAGACTATGCAGATTGTAATTTTTAATTTTAAAAGTTCTTGCAAGCAAATTTCATTTTGCAAAAATATTTTCACTATAACTTAATAAACATTAGTAAGAGCTGACACTGCAAAATTAAAAGGGCAGGCCACTGTAGAAAAAAGTCCTTATCCAATTCACCTTATCTTTTTTTGTGTCCATAGTTAAAAAATATCTGACAAGTTATGCTTTTTGCTCAATTTTTTGAAGAAGATATTCCATTTGTAAATTTAGATTTGGTTGTCCTTTTCTAGTCCTTTTACTTAACATTTTGTATGTTTCCATTTTCTTCTGCTTGTAGAGCTTTTGAGCTTTCTCTCTTTCTTCTCTCCTTTTTTTGGCTGCCTGAAATGAAAGTCTGGAATCATTAAGACATACACTTATTTCACTCCTCATAGTTTCTAGAGTTATTTGACATTATGTAGGCTGTATCAGTCTTTGCAACTATATTTATAAAACAGAAAGTGATGACATTCATCAGCGCTCATGATACACTCTGAATGCCTCTCTCATTTTACTGACAGGACAGAACCTGCAAGTATTAATATAAGCTTCTACTATATAAACTTGTACTGAAAAAACACAAATATTCTAAGGTGAGAGGCATGGAATGTCAGTTTAAAAATGAGATGGTCAGCTTTTAAGACTATATAGTCCTATACATTTTCAAAAGGGATCAGCAGCACTGAATTCAGTAAGTAACTGTCTATGTAAAACTTAAAACCAAGCCAAGATATAGCCTAAACACAAAGACTTTATTTAAAAGTTACATACCTCCTTTTTCTTGTTTCGTTCAGCCTTTATTTTCTCATAATCCTCTTTTGCTTTCTGGTTTGAAGTTTTTGCTTTAAGTTTTCTTTGAATCACATTGCTCCTGTGTTAAACAAGAATACTGGCAATTAAAATATACCTTTGGTTTAATAGTTATATCATCTAAGCAGTTAACAACTTTGATTCATTGACTGAAAACCTGTGGATGAATGGAAAAGGTTATTAGATTATCATCTGTCTCCCTCCAAGTACCTTATTTAGTTATTGTAACTTTTCTGGGGAACAGAGCTAAAAGCAATTTTACCATTAAGAAAACTAGTATTCTTACCCTGAAGTTACAGTATCTTTCTCTTCAAGTACTACTGGTTTATGTTTAGGTTTCTGCTGTTTCTGAAGCATTTCCTCTTCAGCTAAATAAAGATGCTTCAGATGTTCTGGATAATCTTCAGTATACCCAACATTATTTTGAGAATTCACATTTCTTTCCTTTTTAAGTAACTTTTTGTAGTCACGTTGAATCTTTCGCTTTCTCCAAATGGCAAAGCCTTGACCTAAAAGCATAAGACAAAAATATTAAATACTTTTTAATGAATGTACCTCTCTTGAAACATGTACCTCTCATGTAACATACTTAAAAATTAAATTACATTATTATGCCAATCTGTACCTGGTAGTGACTAATTGGTTACAAAGTTTATACCCTGAGAGGGGATAGGACTCAAGGATATATGTTGCCATACTCCCTTATCTTTTCTGTCTGTAAATGCAATGTTGGCTTGTTAGATAACAATTAGAGCCTTGGCTAAGTTGTATATCAAAGCTGCTACCATCATTTGAAGAAGTAAATACACCCATGTAAAGTTTTTTTTTCTTTTTTAGCATATGTGGACATATCATATTTTGTCTTCATTGAAACAGTATCTAAAAGTGATTTAAATGAACAACAAAAAACCTATAAAAATTGTCTTTGCAATCATTTGTTTCACAAAAAATTAACTGATTTGCTATTTCCTTCTGTGGAAAAAGTAAATACACCCTTGACTCTAATACCTGGTATTGCCCTCTTTGTCAACCTCAAGTAGGTGTTTCTTATAACTGTCTACCAGCCCCTGACATTGACTGGAATTTTTTCCCATTCCTCCATGTAGAATTTTTTCAGCTGTGTGATGTTTGAGCAGTTTCTTGCATGCAGTGTATCAAATCACCCCACAACATCTTGATGTGATTTAGATCTGGGCTTTGACTTGGCCATTCCAGAACCCTCCATTTCTTTCTTGTTTTTCCCAGCCATTCCTTGATGGATATACTGGAATATTTAGGTTATTGTTATGTTGCAAGGTTCACTTTCAGCTGAGTTTCTATCTTCTGACAGATGGTCTCACATTATTTTCAAGCACCCACTGGTACAATGAAAAATTCATAGTGGATTCTTTGATGTGAGCTGCCCAGGCCTCTGATACAGCAAAGTATCCCCAAACCATAACATTTCCACCACCAAGCTTCAGAGTTGGCATCAGGTTCTTCAGGTGAAATGTTGTCTTTGGTTTTTGCCAAACATGTTTACTAGTCTTGTGGCCAAATAATTCTATCTTTGCCTCATTTATCCAAAGCACATTGTTTCAGAAGTCCTGATCTTTGCCCTGATGATCTTTCTGGCAGCAAAGGTTTCCTTCTGGCATTTATGCACATTTTTTCTAATTTTAGACTCATGCCCTTTAACATCAGAGCTACCTGTAGGTCATGTGATGACATTCTGGATTCCTTAGAGACTTCTTTCAGCATCTTCCATTCTGTTTTGGGTTGAACTTGCTGGGATGGCCTGGCCAAGTTGGCAGTTGTTCAAAATCTTCTCCACTTGTAGATGATCTTCAAGACAGGGGAATGATCGATATCCAACTGTTTGGTGATCTTTTTAAATCCCTTCTCAGACTCACAGGCATCTATAACCTTCTTTCTGAAGGCCTCAGTTCCTTCAATCTAACTATGGTGATACCACACACTACAACAACAAAGAGCAAATCAAGTGAAATGTCTGTGGTTTAAATAAGACAGGTTCTTCCCAGATCCTCTCTAACAGTATTCTAACTATTTGCATCTGATCTGGTGCATCTGATTCTAATTTAAGGTATTTGAGAAAGTGATAAATGTAGGGCTGTACTGTTTCCACATGTGAAATTTGCATTTATGGTTGTTTGAATTACACCATAGACTACAAAATTTAAATGGTGCATATTTGTTAGATTATATCCCCTTTATCAGTAATGTTGAAATGAAAATTAAACATCTGTATGTTAAAATATGTTGAAAAAGTGTAAAAAAAAATGACTGTCTCTTCTAGAAATATGGCTGGATAATGTTTTCCCACCATAAAGGACAACTGTGTCTCCCTTTTTGGCTGTCTTTTTCCTCATTAATTTCCTTAGCAGTAAAACACGTTTTTTAATGCAGCTGAGATCTTTTGCATGTATATGCATGCTCAAACTGTCATACCTATTTTATGAAACCATGTGGCTCTTGTTCTTACAAGACATCACTGAATTACTGTAACCAGCCAGCTTTGTACTAATAAAACGATCTCCAGCTATTGGAGCTGTTTTTTTTTTGCCACAACAGCAAAAAAACAGAAATGATTGTTCTCTTCCAGGATACGTGTGTGGTGTGTTCAGTTTCATAGTCTGGCCCGTCTTTGATTTCTTTTGAGGTCTTTGCTTTCTTCTGAGATCAGTCAAGTTCGGCTACCTCTGCTGCCTAGCTGGGCGTCATGGAAAAAAGTAAGAGATCAAGAGACCATACTGCAAAGAAACCATTATGACATCCCTTCCCCTTCGTCTGCGAGGCTCATACCCTCCTGGAGGCTTCCCCTCAACTGACGCGTGTCCCGTCTCCAGGGCTGCTTCCGACTCAGACCAGTCGGCGCCTTCTCCTTGCCTCCATTTCTACTGAAGCCCGGAGATATTCTCCTCTTCCCAACCGGCGCCATCACGCAATCTGTTCAGCTTCGTCGCACGTTGCTATGTCATCAATAGGCGTCCTCGTCACCTTTTCAGCTGCAGGGTCGTCCAATTGGGAAGGACGCAGAAATGGCTTTGTTCGGCGCTTGATTCACTTTGTCTGGGAAGAAAGATCGAGCGGCACGGAGCGGGGAGAGAGGGGCGAAAAGCAGCCCCATCGATGCTGAGTTATCGGTGCTCTCTGCCAGCGTTTCCTCCTCGATGATTGGCACGCAGTTTCTGCTACGGGCCCACCATGTCGAGGTGCCCTCGGGAAGCCTCGCCGGGCTCCACCCGGGAGAATTACCTCTTGCCGCCAGAGCCTTCTGCGGAGACGGTAACCGCGCGAGTAAAGGCAGTAGCACAGTTTCTCCGGTGGGGACTTCCGCTGTGCCAGACCCACACGGTGGAGTTTTATACGAGGGGGCTTTGGGAGAAGTTCGTAGCTCTACCTCCCGAAACGGTGTTGGGCACGCTAAGCGGAGAGAGGCTGCAGCACCTCCTGGCAGAGCCGACTCCGCAGCGCCCCTTGGAGGAAGTCGCCGGTAAGAGCCACCGTCTGGAAAGCTCTTCGAGCAGAACGCCGCCTTCGGGGCGCGCGCTGGCCGGGGCGGAGTTGGAGCGTTAAGAGACACGCGCCGCCTCGTTCCTTCTCAAAATAGGCCCAGCATCCTCTTCCATCTGTGCTATCCGGTCTCTCTGCCTTCTCTCAACTTTGCCGGCATCCTCATCTTTTCCTACTTCATCATCTGGAATCAGGATTTGCTCCTTCGGTCCACGAAAATTTGATAGAAAATGTTACTGCCGCCACAGCGCTCATCCTTGAGGGCGGTGTTTCTCAACCAGGGCAACTAAGAGATGTGGGCTTCAACTCCCAGAATTCCTATGCTGGCTGGGGAATTCTGGGAGTTGAAGTCCACACATCTTAATGTTGCTAAGGTTGAAAAATATTATTTTAGGGAACTCAGAGGTTCCTAGGCAGTCACTGTTTCTCTCCCCCACTCCCCACTTTGAATAGACCTGCTTAGTTTCAGTATGCCTGCAGTCCCAATACATACAGTTCCTTTTCATCAACAGAGCATGGATTATAGGTGACCCAGATAAAAAAATTTAATAAATAATAACAATATATTTAAAATGATGGTTTCTGAGGCAGAGCTAGGAATATTATTGGTAGGTATCTTTGGGCAAGTCACTTGCTCTCAGCTGCAACCCACCTCATAGGGTTGTGTTGTGGGATAAATAGGAGGCAGCATTCTGCACCCTGCCTTGAAATGTAGAAAATAAAGGCAAGATATAAATCAAATATAATAAACAGATAAATAAAAGCTGATTTAACATGCCAAGGTAATCTCCCTGCTTTATTTAGTTTATTAGTACAGTATTGTTTACAGAATGCATATGTTAAAATGAATATTGAGTATTCATTTGGAATTCCAGTACCAAAGTACCATTTCCCTAAAAGAGAAAGAAGATTGAAATATCTTCATTCCTGCTTTTCTCACAGCTTCATCATATATAGTATTATACTTTCCCACCCCTGACCCCCACAAAATAAATCCATCCATCCATCCATCCATCCATCCATCCATCCATCCATCCATCCATCCATCCATCCATCCATCCATCTATCTGACATGTGGGATAGGTTTGTGGATTTTTATATTATTCAGGTAAAAATATAAGGATGCACAGTATAGCTAAAGATGCTTTACTCTGAGATAAATTGCTCTAGGACGCTCCCCCCCCCCAGACCTGTTTCCAGTAGCAGCCATTCTAACAGATAATTCAGTCTTTTATAACTTAAACAAGTAGTTATTAAATCACTTCTGTTTCTTTTGATATCCTGTTAATTTTTTCTCTTACATCATGTATACTGCATAGTGAATTTATAGGTAACTTTTATTATCTAATTTCTGTACTAGATTGTAATTGTAATCAAATTGTAATTTGATTGTAATTTCTTTGTTTAATTGTTATGAACTTCCCAGAGTCATTAAGAGTCAAGTGGCATACAAGTTTAATATTATTACTACTAAAACATTTATAAATGAAAATAACATTTGGGAGTTTCATACACTGTTCTGTTTTTTAAAGAAAAGAGGATAGGTTATTAAATAAAATCTGTTTTTTTCTGATTTTTCCAGGCTACTTCATTGCCAATGTGAATTACAGAAGTCTTTCTTTTTAAATACAGAGATTGACAACTTCCATATTCTTTTTTCATTTTTGTAGCTTTTCTTTTGACTTGGCTTCTCTGCAGGTGTATTATGCACATTTTACAAAACAGTCCTCCAGGTTTGGTCAGAATAAGTCCCACTTGGTTTAGTGACATACACTCCCAGCACTTTGGTGCATAAAAGGTTGTAGCCTAAAGGTCACGGTTGATTAAAGTCTTTGCTTCATTTACTTTTTCTCTTTTGATGTACAAAGGAGATGGATCTATGGTCAATTCAGGAACTGAACTTTGACTTTTCCAAGTTTCTGGAAAGCATTTTGGATATTAAATATTAACTTTAAAATTTAATTAATTTTAAATATAGTCCTATGCTGGTGAGATTGATTTCTCTTTGGATGTAGTGGTTAAAACAACCATCTTACATGGTTGATTTGTGTAGCCTTTTGAGGCCAACCTTTTTTCTCTTTTTATAGCTGAAAAATAAACACCTCCACATCATTAAGAGGTTATTTTCAGTGTAGCTTCTAGTTTAGATTTCTGTTTTAGTCTAGAAGGTGTTATAGATGGGGTTATGCCGTGTGTTCAAAGGCAAAAATGTGCTTTAGTGTGTGCAGCTCTGCAGCTGCCATATGATGCCTGGAAAAGATGCATTTGGTTTAACAAATTTCAGACAAGTGGTACATTTGTGCCCTGTGCACATATGAAGCATATTTTTACATTCAAATCTGAGGTGCTGCACAATCTAATAGATGTAAATTAAAATATCCTTAGCTATGTTAGTAAATTAAAACTGAACGTTGTTGAATATCGTACTTTTTTTTGGAAAGCAAAAAGAAACCCATATTAAGTTTCACTAAAAAATATTGTTCACGATGTTCATCATTCTAAAGTTACAGAAGAATTGTTATATACTTGCTTTTCATTGATATGCAAGTTCTAGTAGTCTCAACTGATTCTGCTCCACTTAATGCACAGCAAGGACATTCATAGGATAATATCTCTTCATGATAAACCAGAAAGAGAACTTGTTATTTATTAAGTGAACATAAAATATTTAAATTATAGGAACGTATTCTAAAAAGCAATTTATAACGTCAGTTTTTCTAATTCTAAATTATCTGCCTAATGTGCATATAGAAATAAGATAAAATGACAGACAATTGACTGTATCCTTGAATATATGTTATTTTTTATTTTCTTTCTTTTATTTGCTAATGTGTTTTTCCTAAATAGCTACTAAACCTTACGGGAGCTCATATCAGTTATGTATACTAGATATGCTCTTTTTGTGTTTAGGGTCCATAGGAGTGAGTTCTGTGAAAGCTGTATTAGAATTCCTGACTATTGATGTGATAAAATCTGCTTTTTCATTATTATAAACTGTTTCCTGTTTTTCCACACAGATAGCTCTGAATTTTACAACATGTTCTGTAAAAAAACTCAGAGGCTGATTAATGTCCAGGCTTTTGCTCTAGCTGCTAAATACTATTCAATGCCGAATCTTGGAGTGTGCATCTCCTTAGAACAGATACTTGAAGCACTGAACAGAAAACAGCAGTCAAGTTCGAGTAAGTTAATAATCTTGGCGTATTGTTCTTTATATTTGTAAAGTTTTTTCCTTAAAAACCAATTATTTTCTTTTTTGCAAGTTGTGCGATATTCCTTAGTTTGTGTCTTTATTCTCTCAGCAATCCAAATCCAAATATCTATTTATCATTCACATTCAATCATATGAATGTCCCACTGCATGCAGTCAGGGTTATTCCAGGTAAATGAGTAATATGATTGTCATGATGTGTTCAAATATTATTAATGCTTCTTATTTTATTTTACTAATTTAAATTTTATTAGTTGTATTTTAGGATGAGTAAGATTTTTTTAAAAAAACAATGCCCGATATAACTTATTTCGTTCCTGTTGAAGAAAGGCCTCTCCCAAATTTCACGCGGTAGTTTTCTTTGGTTGCTTCCATAAATTTCAAGATGAGTTTGATTGTAGCGAATGCAATCAAAGCCCATGCTGAGAAACCATGTTTTCTCATGTTATTCTGATCTGTGGATAAATAAATATTTTATTGCCGTGAACAATCAGACAGCATTCACATTATCGCAATCTCCCAGTATAAATGCCAGACAGCATTTGAGTTTGAATATAAACTGAATATATATTTTCTCTCAGGTGTGGGCTTACCCATACTCTGAGGAAATTCTCTAGTCTATGCCCTTCCTCTTAGAGATAGGTAGGGAAAAAATGTTCTTTTAAAAGACAGCAGCAGTACTCTGGGAACATGGAACAAGAGGTTTCTGTGCCTGAGCTGAGAAAAAAAGGAGAGTGTGCTATTTCCCCAACAGCTCTGACAAATGGTTGGAATTACATCACAAAGCTGGGGAAGGTCCAGGACCAAAGGAGGACAGCGCTTTGTTTTGAGATTCAAGTTAAGTCTAAGGAATAGGTAACTGTTTAGATGCTGTGTTAATTTTTATTTCCCTTTGTCTGTTTGGAAAAGGGAGTTTTAAAATTATATAATGATATAACTCAATTCTCAGTGTGCTTTGAAATGAGACATTTGGGGGATCTTTTTCCTAGCGTTTATGGTCTGAAAATCAATTTTTTAACAGATGGCTAGACTGTTTAAAAAGTGCAGAAAGAAGACATGACTCTTTCCTATAGAAGGGCTGCTACTCTTGATTTTTTCATTATTAACAAATGTTAATAATCTTTTCTGCCACCGCTGGAAAATCTAAACAGAGAAATTGCTGTAAGAAATTTCCAGTTGTCTTTTTATCCAAGGGATTCTGCAGAAATGAAATTTGTGACATGTTCACCTTGCCAAAGTCATGATAAAGAATAAGGGCTGTTTTGGCACCACATGGATTTCCAGCTTATGGTTTCCATGTGAAGTAGTTTTAATACTTGATTAAAGAAACAGTTATTTTGGAAAGAACTTCCATTTTGTTTTCCCGGAAGTATTCAGTACTCCTTGAATATTATTCTTGCTCTAAACAAGTACACAGAAACGTTTTGCATATGCTTCAAATGAGAGGATGCAACCTTGGGACTTGAAACATGCTGTCATCTTTGCCTCTGTTTTTTCTCCCTGTCTCTTCAGTGACCTTCACTTACATAGGACAAAAGGAACAATATGGTATTCATATGAGTTGGCATCAGTCTGGTTGTTCTAGCCTATGAAGGCAAATCAAGTGATGATATATAATGTTATCTCTACGGCTCACGGATAGAGTTTAAGTATGAGTCATGCGAGCCTGCATTGTTATTTAAGGTCTTTGGAAGCAAACATGTATCAGAATCAGAATCCATTGCATAGCGAATATATTGTTATATTGACTCAGAGCATTTCAACTTATTTATCTGGGCATAGCCATCGTTTGTAAATAAGATGTACATGTAATGTTATTTTTAGTGATCTTTATGAGTTACAAAATAAAACATGTTTCTCCAGATCCTTAAGTTTAACTACATACTTCTTTTTGTTCAGAGGTAGAAATGAAAACAGATAATTTTATGAATAATAAGAAGTCACATGAAGTACAACTGATGTCAGATTTAGTAGATGGCATTGCAAAATATTATGGCTTAAACCAGGTAAGAATCTTTATTATCTTATCCCTTTTAGGTTCAATTCCTTCCAAAGGCTTGGAGGTGCTATAGGAGATGCTATTGCCTGTTGAGGAAGATGACAGTATCAAATTAGACTTTGTTCTAGATTTGCTTTTTTCCATTTAAGAAACAAGGTTAATCAATACCCAGTTAAAGAGTCAGAAGCTAGAAATCTTAGAAATGTGAATGAGATAAATTTTTATTAAATGTGAATTGAAGGAAATTTTCCCTATCATTTAAGTTAATCTAAAGAAAATTATATTTGGCGTTGTTTTCCGTACACATAGAGGAGGCTAAGATAAAGAGTAAGTATAAGCATGTTTGTGTGTTCAGGTAGACCTCATTTAACAACCACAGTTGGAACCAGCAATTCGGTTGTTCAGTGAAGGGGTGCTAAGTGAAACTGTGACTGTGCTTATGATCTTACTTCAGCTTTCCTTTATTTTACAAACCTGTGAAGGTTGTAAATGTGAGGACTGGTTGCAGAGTTACTTTTTCATCACCATCATAACTGCAAATGGTTGCTGTCTGAGGCAGTCACTAAATGAGGACTACCTGTGTGTGTGTGTGTATGTATGTATGTATGTATATATATTTGATAACTAAGAGTTGGTTGCCAGTGAACAAAACTGTATGATAAGAGTAAATGTTTCTGAACAGTATATTTAGTACTATTATAAGTATTCATAATTGACATGTTTCAGAGCATAGATAGGAAGAGTGCACGAAAGCAAAACAAGTTTTGGTATGACCTCCTTAGATGATACTAGGCTATAGGTGGCATTTTCAGAATCTTAATTCCAGATGTTATTTCTGGTAAGATATTATAAGAAGTGGTAAAATAACTTCTAAGGCAATTCTATATCTGTCTACTTCAAATTAAGAATCATTGACTTTAGTAGGGCCCTCTCATGGCAAAAGTATATAGAAGTGCCATCTTAGATTTGACTACTGATTATTACCAAAACTATCTACAGTATGGCACTAAATATGAGATGTAGGCTGTTTAGTTAGTCACTCTGTGATACTGTATTTTTGCCTCAAAATCATAATAATCATACTAACATGAAAAAATGTTCTGATTATAAGGGAAACCATTTCTTTAGTTTTAAAAATTATTGTTTTTGTTTTAATAAACTGAAAAAGGCAGCTTTATATTAGATTTTTCAGTCCTTCTCATTGGAAAGTGCCAAATGTAATCTAAGTATAGATCTATAAAAAAGCAGCACAGTGTTTACAGCAATAGGGATCTTAAGGGTGCTTTTTTAAGAGTTTCTAGTTCAGCAAAAGGACTTATATTGCCCTTAGCTTTATCTATCTACCCAAATTATAGGAAGTTATGTCAAATGTACAATATTGCTTGGGTGATTAAAATCAAATCTCATCCTTTAGCACTTTAGGCTTTTCTGATTTCTCTGTGAAAGTTGACTCTGATAGCCTGGTAGCACAACTGGGTGTGTTTAAAGAGCACTATGCCCCAATCATCTAGTGGGGAGAAAGCCTGATAAAAATAATGTTTCAGCCGTCTAGTGCCCATGCACTACTGAACACATTTCACAGCACTTCAAATCACAGCATCATCAAATACATTTAACAACAACAGAGAACCAAGTTAAAACATAGGTTTTAAATACAGTAGGATATATTCAGGATGCAGAAAAGGTTTGTTAAAGTAGAACTGTCTTTACCAAGTGGCAAAAAAACCTTCAAGAATAAGATCCATTGATGCTTTATCAACAAAGCATTTCACAATACTGTGCATTCAGTGGCAGTTTTGAGTGTTTTAAAGGATATGGATGATAATTTGTGTCTTTCTGCAAACAAAGGTGCGTATCAGAGTCGAGATATTAGGTGGACCAGAGTCTTGCCTGATATGAACCCCTTTTGTAGCATGTAGGAATTGGCATTGTCCTTGATTTGGTTCTGCCTAACAGCCGAGCAGTTAACAACAATGACTGATAATTAGTTGTGTTACAAAAAACATGGCAAGAAATCAGAGGAAAAGTCCTTGAATAACTGCTGTACTAAAGGAAATGCCTTCAGACCTATATTGAATAATGCTTTGTAATAATATGTAGTCATAGGAGAATAGGAAGCATAAAGCTCATTTTAATATACAACATATACAGAAAAGAAGGGAGAAAAAAATTGGCTTCAGTGAATTCAATCATATCTAGAGATTATTTATATACTGTGGAATTGGAGTGGAATAAGATGCATGTCATTCTAATGCATATCTGCTTGCTCCATCCTAAAGGTCAACTCATGATAGGCCATTGAAATGCTAAGAGGAAGTTAGTCATCTCATATTTCAGAAATTGTCAGCTCTGTTATGTTTCTCACTTACATCCCAGTCATACCTAGTAAATATATGTGTTGGATTTAAAAAAAATGCTTTATTAACAGGTTTCTTGTTGACTAATCCACAGAGATTCTTAAATTAGAATTTTATAAAAACTTAAGCAATAATAACAATAAAAATGAAGAAAAAATAGCCTGCAATAAAATTTTTAAGTTTGGTCCTTTGCTGTGAAATTTACCAATACTTTAACCTCATTTTAAGAGGTCATTGTAGTAAAAACATACACAATTATTGTTGAAACCTAAACCTGTTGAAATTTATTTTGTCTCTATCTGAGATAGTAGTATTTTCTATGAATTTTACATATTTTAAAGAGAAAGTGCTTGTTAAAAGACATAAGTGTTTTTTCTCCTTTCTCAGGCCTTTGTACATAAGATGAACATTCAGTGGAGCTACCAGATTTGGGCCTTAAAACCAGAAATTTTTTTAAAAATAAAAATTTGCCTGGGAGACCACAGCCCTAAATATATCCCACCTTTGCCCCACATGTTCAACAGAAAAGTGTCTTTACTCATTTCCAAAACTTTAAAGAGAGAGGGCCAGCCTGACCTCAGGAACAAGCTGTTACATAAGGCTGGGATAGCTGTAGAGAAGGCTTGTTTTTAAACGCTTATCCCTTTAGCTTCACGCTGGGGCTGGATTTTCAGTATGCCTCCTTGGCTGATGTGTACAGAATGGACAAATTCCATTTGGAGGAGATGGTCCTGCAGATAACAACTCAAACCATAAAACACTTAACCAGTGCTTTGATATGTACCCAGAAATTTATTTCTGGCCAATGCAGTGTCCACTATATAGGTGATAATCCGGCTGAAGCAGTTCTTACTTACTGAATACTGAATATTCTGTATTACTTACTGGCTTCTGTATTCTGTATTAACTTTAATTTTGGAATACCCTGCAGAAGCAGCCCCAAGTAGAAAGCATTACAGTAATCCAAGCATGAGATGAAAAGAGCATCAGTGATAGACACCAAAACTGGACAAAGACTTTCCTGGCAATGCCTTTCACTTGCTGTTCAAGGAGGAACTGTGAGTTCAGAAAAACCTTCAGGTTACAGATCTGTTCCTTCAGCTCTTCCACAAAAATGATCAACAGAGTTTCTGTCCCACGTCCAGATCTGAAGCCTGACTTGGCTTCCTATTCTGGTCAGTAACTATCATTTTCTGTGATCAGATAAAACAGGATTCTGGAATTCATGTTGCTGGCTTGAACACGGAGTGCAAAAAAGGAGGAGTAAAAATATGGGTGCACAAGGCTCATTTATAGTTTATTAATATAAGGTCTTATCATCCAAACATTGCCATCTGTTAAAACTCTAGGGAAATATAAAAATGGTAACATAACTTCAATAACTGTGCTTTTTTTCTTATTACCATCATGATACATTTATGCTAAGTTTTAGAATTGGTGTCTGCTACTTTTTAACAATTCTTCTTATTTACATTCTAGGTGATTGACCTGGGTTCTGGAAAAGGTTACCTGAGCTCTTTCTTGTCATTGCAGTATAATCTAAAGGTTTATGGAATTGATTCTTCAAACACAAACACCCACGGAGCTAATGAAAGGAACAGGAAATTAAAGAAACATTGGACAGCCTATCAAAGACGTGCGGGAGAAAATGTCAGAGGCCAAGCATTGGAAGAAGCAAAGAAAAGGGCAGAACAAGATAAAGAGAAATGTAAAGCAAACACCAGTGAAAAGCCCTTAAGAACTAATAACAGTCTTGAGAGCCAGGTCCGAGTGGCTGTTCCAGATGTTGCTTTTGAAACAGCTGAACTTAGCCCAGATCCCAATATATGCATTACTAAAAAACAATATGAACTCAACCCTGAGGCTCAGGTACAACTCATTGAGAACAACATACCAGAAAATGTATTTCTAAATATTCTGCCTGCTGATGCTGTAGAAATGGATTGTTCACCCAGAAGAAATTGTAGAGAGCTCTGTGAAGAAGAGAAAGAACAAAGGAAGGTGGCTTCTTTGAAAGCCAAAGCCAGCCGGTCAAAAGAAGCCAACATATATTCTCCATTGACATCGTTCATTACTGCAGAAACAGAGTTACGCGATATTGTTGGAGATCTGGAGGTTATTTTGTTGTTCTAGTTTGAGCTATTTAATCTGATTTTGGAGTGTGAATTGAAAAACATTGAACCAAGACTGTGCTTTTCTGTAAGAGCATAGAGGAAATACAAGATAAAATGTATTTACAGGGATACCATTATTGTTGAAAAGTGGCGTAGTAAACTTGCATATAGAGAGAGAGGGAGAGAGAGAGAGAGTTAGTTAAGGTGGTTTGGATTAATAATTACATTTATCTGGCATCCATTTTCCTTGATACACTGTTCTTTAAACTGAAGCATGTAGATATGGTCTATATAAAATTGTATGCTTTATATATCAGAAATATTGTTTGGTCTAGTGGTTAAGGCACAACGCTAGAAACTAGGAGACTGTGAGTTCTAGCCCTGCCTTAGTCATGAAAGCGAGCTGGGTGACTTTGGGCCAGTTCCTTTCTCTCAGCCCAATTCACCTCACAGGGTTGTTGTTATGGGGAAAATAGGAGGAGGAAGGAGTATTAGGTATGTATGTTGCCTTGAGTTATATAAAAATAATAAAAAAGGGAAAAATCATATATATAAAATAAATATATACACACACACACACAGTGGGGCAAAAAAGTATTTAGTCAGCCACCAATTGTGCAAGTTCTC